CTGTTATATTAGTATCTATTAATGTCTAATTCTAACATGACTTCAAAAGAAATTTTGAGAATTAACAACAGATCTTTAAAATTCTAGCACAAATAACACTTCTTAGACCCCAGTTCAAAGGTACCATAACTACCAGTGCACAATTTGCTGGTGGTATATAGATGACTGCTGAGGTTGTACATGGAACAATTGCTAAGACACTGTTTAGCATACTGGCATGTCATAACATGGCAGTGCACCAACAGTTCATGGATATTATTCCAGTTATCTTTTGTTCAGCCACTGATCCCCAATCTACCTGATGCAGTTTATACAGCAAGCCACTGGATGGGTTGCAATACTCTATTGTCACATGATCATGACCAGGCTATCAAAAACTGGTCAAAAATATTATGACAATAATATTGAAACTATATGCTCAGTGCAGCATTCACAATTATACTTTTTTAATTATTTGGTATATCATTGGATATTTCCAAAACTTGCAACTTATATCCAAAACATACAACCCACCACTAAGCAGAAAACAAGGAGTGAACTCAAAGCCCAGCAATGCATCCTTTCTGAACATAGCTGTTTGCACCACCTGTAGCTCACAGCTAAACAGTGATGGGGTAGAAGTGAATTTTGCTGTGCATCTAGAGATAAAGAAAACATCTACACTTACATCTTTTATTTCTTTTAATGACATCAGATTATCTCTACTTCCTAAGTATGGGGATGGATGCCAGTTCTACATTACTTGAAAATGTGCAGTGCCACATCTACTTATGAAGAATAGAATATAAAACACAGCATAATGTCTGAGCTCCCAAACCATACATGACCTCAATCTCAAACATCAATCATGTGATCACAAACTGCTGTTTGACATTTATCCTGGCAGATACTTACAGGCAGGACTAATTGAGCATCCTACTCCACACCTGGATGGACTGACATCTTCCAGGAGATACAATAAGAATTTTTTATCACTCCTGTCTACTGATTCCAATAGAAAGTGCCCCTCAAATGAAGAATACAAAAGCTGAATCCTGATAGACAAGTACATCATACATGTTCCACAACATTGTATTCCATGTCTGTGGCACAACACACATCCCAGATCAGTGCATCCCGAAAAGGAAATGCAAGTGACCCAACTGCTAGCAATATCGATTGCCCAATAAGCGGAGGAAGGAGGAAATGGGGAAAATACAAGCCTAGCCTACTGAAACCTTCAAATCGACGCGACGCGACATTTACGGTTCATCAGAATGCCTCTCGTTCACACCTTTCATCTCACTCTGCTCTGAAAATGCGTGAGGAAATCAAAAATACAAGTATATTTTTCAAAGTGAGAAAGAAATGCGGCTTAGCACAAAGTTTGCACAAAACATTTCAGCGCACCCACCATGGTTGCTGTTTACAGGTACCACCAACCGGAAAGGGCGCTGACAGCGTTGCCGCCTCAAACAATAATATAATCGGAATACAAAAGTACTGCCCTAAAATATTTCTCTCATCCTTCAGCGCCAAATATCACGTTCCCCAAAGACGTAATGCATTTCAGGGGACATTATATCTGTAGTTCACTTTCATCATATCATGCTCCAAGAATGACTGTCTGTCATCGGTTAGTGACGCGGATAAAACGTATTCATTGGCGATTGGCGGTGGGCTGATTTATGGTAGCACAACACTGGTGATACGAGTGCTTTTTGACGACTTAAAAAACAGATATATAGTGATAAACGCATCCAGTGTATGCGTAATTACCCAACTGCCCCATAAGACACTGGTCAAGGCGCCGACAACTCGCGCGAATGACAGGCGTTATTCACAACTCCACACCGTCATACCGAGAGTGGGTTAATGTGGGACGCTTGTTGAACTCCTGTCAGGCGCGGCCGAAGACTTGGAAGTGTTCGATCGGCTAACGTGCGTCTTTTCGCTCAGCTGCCATCAACCCACAAAGCAATCGGTGGTCGGACCCACAGGCCACACCGGAACGTCAGGCATCCGCACTGTGGCGCTGGGTTCGCGCCGACCACACAAGGGTGTCGCCACCATGACGTGGCGAGCACTTTCTACGGGTGCTGGACGAGTGTAGAAACCGCATTTGTTTACGGAGCTGACGACGCAATGCGTTCGGCTGCTGTTTCTCGCCAAACTTAAAGTTTTTTTAAAAATACGTGTCGTCCACGCAATTTCGGTTTCACGCATCCGACACCTAAGCTGGTCCATTCAGCGCTGGGTCTGATCCGATCGACTGATTGATGGACACCTTCTTTCATCAGAGGCTGCACCAACCGAAAGACCTGTCAAAAACGTGCAGTGCATTGACAAGTGGAATGTGCATAAGCACGATTATTTTATACCACATATATTTGGTTCTTAATGAGGTGCTCGATTCCCACAGAAACAGCTCCAAAGCACAGGACAAAGAATGCTGCTTGTCACTGCCCCTGATGGGCCCACCGTGCGGGCGGCACTTCACAAGACCAGCAAAAAAATATGAGGCCAGCATCCTGCCCATCACGAACAAAAACACATACCACCCTTTTCTGAGACCAATACCACCCTCAGCTCTTGCGCACGCGCCTCGGTACGATCTGCACACCCTTCTTGAAGCGTCCCGGCTGGCCATCGAAGCCGCGCACGCGGTTCTTATCACGCGGCTTCTTGAACTTCTTCAGGTCCTTGAGCATCTCGACGCTAGGCAGCGCGAGACCGCTCTTTTTGAGCTTCTCGCGTTCCTCCCGCTCGGCGGCGCGCCGCTCCTTGGCCGCCTCCATCAGCTGGCGGTAGTTGGTGGCGGTGCGCGGTGGCGGTTTGGCGCCTAGCCGCACCAGCAGCTGCAGGCGGGCGTCGCGGCGCCGCTCGCGCGACATGCCCTCCAGGCCTAGCTGGAACACCTCGTGGCGCGCCGCGCGCATGTCGCAATCTGCGCCATCGTCGGCGACGGCGGGCGTGGCCGGCGCGTCGGCGGCCGGTGCGGTCGGCGCCCGCTGCCGGCTGTAGGAGGTAAATGGACAGGCGTGGAAGAGCTGTGCGCCGTCGCCGCAGCGTGGCTCATTGTCTCCACCACACGGCGCTGGAAAGGAAATGGGGTTGGTATGAGACAACACATGAGTGCCACTGGCGCCAGGGCAGATCTGAGTCAAGGCGAGCAAGAGGAAACACCAACACCAACATGCAGGATTTTGTATCATGCGTTTAACACCTTGTTTGCATGAGTGTTTGCTGCTCCACCATGCCATGCTTGAATGCCAATTCTAATGTTTGCATTCATATCATTCTCGAACACAAACAACACATCCTAAACTATCCAAACCATGACTTCACAATTCATTAACTAAACCATGACCTGGCATGGGTTTTAGCAGGGTCAATGAGGCTCATTGGGGTCTGGATGGGCTCTGAGCCTTCAACAGCTTTGAGACGAGGTGATTGATACAATTTATGTACCTTGCAAGCATTGTGACATAGCAGCGACCTTCACTTTGTACCCTATGTCAATGCATATGTTTATCTTCAATAGGTGTGTCTATATTCCTCATCACTGCCAACCTACAGCACAGCTTCATTTATAGCCGTTGCCAACATAAAACTTTCCTGTGTTGCCAACTTAACTGCTCTCGACTTTGAACGTGCACTCCGTCAAATTACCAACTTCTCATTTGGGTCCAGATTGGCACGGGTGATGAGTGAGCATCATGCTGTCCATTGTTCCAATTTTGTTAAAACTTTTACTGTTTGAACTACTAGAACTCAAGCTTATGCTTGGCACAAGTAGACAATGCAGTTGATATTTGCCCTGAAATTAATTACTTACTGCTTATTGCTATCAAGTCCCACAGATTATAGTCTTCAGACATAAAGCATGTCAAACCTGAAGATTTTGTCAACTTCTCAAGCTAAATGCACAGTTCAGATTTGCACTTATTTACAAGCCCCATGCAGAACATAGGTATGGTTATTATTACACTGCAAGGAGAATCAAACCAGCACACAGATATATGGTAAAATTTAGGACACTGCACCATGGCGGCGCATGGAACAAAATGCCTAGAAAAGCATCTGAGCCCTGCTTAATCTTGAGCCTGATGTAACAATACTGAAGAATGTCAATCATGCTACAATTTTGAGTACAAAGATAATAACCTTTGATTCAGTTTTTTGCTCTTGGAATGTATTGCATTGACTCAGTGCATATCAATTTATCTGCAGTCAACATGAAACAATAAATGGTGCCTAGATGTCAAATACAAGCCTTTCCAATAACACTGCTGGCAAATGGCTGGAAAATGTAGATTTGAACATAGCAACACATCAGACCAAAAACTTTAAATAAACACTGACATGACAATACTGCTGTCTGCATTCTCCTGTTTTATCACAGAATCATCTGTGAAGTGTGATGCATCCCAAGAATATGCAACTTCATTGATGACATGGTTCTGTACTCAATTCTGTACCTTCCGGAGGAGAGGCAATCTGTTTTCATAAAAACAGGACACACATGAAAACGAATACCTCATCAATGATTTCAGTATTTCGGATGGATGACTTATCACGTGTCATAACGCGGCAGAAAACGACCCAATAAAAATGAAATACCTTTCTTCTTCTTCTTGGCCATTTGTTCAGTGACTCAACAAGTCAACACGCAATGAGAAAATCACGAACAGTGGGAGCGTTTTCCCGTGAACAGCCTACGGCGATGAATACCACCTATTAGTCGACACTTGTAACAAAACACCGTCAGCTGTTATAGAGCGCTGGAATTGGCACGCTACGTAAATTTGAAACATCACTAAAGCGCCAAATATGTCGCAATAGTTTACTTCCATATATAGCTTTCCTTCGTTATGCCGAGGGCCCCACCGAATTCAGATTCAAAACTCTTTTTCGTTTTATCCACGAAGATTGTTTTAAGCTGCATATTCAAAGTTTCAGTATCAGGTGCCCGAGGATGCCATAGCATCCCCACCTAACAAAATGCGGAGCGTTAAACACGCACCCGGTGGCCGATTTTAACGCGCTTCGCTCAGGTGCATAGGTTTACCTCGGCTCGCTGAGACCTCATAAAATGAGTGAGCCATACTACACCAAATTTAAAGAGCGTGTTGGCCCGTATGGCAAACACACTGGCATCAAAATTTTTAGGTTCTTAGGTCACGACCTACGGGTCAGATAAGGTCAAGCAATGCTGAACCTTTAGAATATATAATCAGAATAGTATAATAATCAGAATAGTAATAAATTTATATAAAAAACAGATAATAATCAGAATAGTATCCAAAGTGCCCTAGCATTACGCAATCACTGAGAACTTGGATACTTGCTCTATGCAGTACGTCCCTGGTGTCCATTTAAGGCAGTAATGTGTTTAAACCATTAGAACGTCATGGTAGCCAGGCTTCCAGAGAAAACCCCATGAACCTTGTCCATTCTATTTCCGAGACACATATCTTCTCGAATTTTTCCCGCTCCGCTTTAGAAAGCACCAGAAAGACCGCAAACCTTCATTCTCAGGAGACACAACATATCGTGGCCTCTCACACCACGAACCAAATTCTCGAACACTTCCCTGGGCGAGGTGCACCAAAACCTTTATTCGAGGCACCACGGCTTATATTTGCAAGAGGAGTTTTTGAAGGAGTTGCGTTTTGCTTCCACCAAGTTCCTGCTCCGCCCGTTCCTTGATATTCGGCGGAGTGGCACCAATTTGATTTATTTTCATTTTTGGGAGTCATAACCTGTATCTTTCAGAAACAAGTAACGCTAGGGGGGCATCTGAAAGGGCCCCAAACCATCATTTGTTATAGACAAACAGATCTCGAGGAAAATTAAGAAACCCGTGACGCTCCATCGACGATATCATGACTCGGCCCATTCAGTGAAGCGACGTCAAAACGTTCGTTTCACAGCGCCAAAACATGTATTCACTTTAGGCAGCAAGTTCAAGTGGCTTTCGAATGGGTCCCGAACCCTTCATTGTAAAGGGAACCACGACTTCCATGCTTTCCATCCTGACCAAATTCTGGGTCGACCCCATCCGCAAAACAGGCATCACAAAACCTTAATTGTGCAGTACCATAAACATTATTGAAGCTGGTGCCCAATTTCAGGGGGCAGCACAATGGGTCCCCAAACATACGTCTTCAAAAGGCAGCAAATTTCAAGAGTACCTAATGTTTATACTTCCCTATTGGCGAAATACGGGATCGACCTATTCGACACTGGGTTACCAAAACGTTTTTTAAGGCACCATAGCCTTTATTTTTAAAGGTGCCATATCAAAATGGGTCATTTAAAGGACCCCAGCATCTTTATTTTCAAGGGGCGCAAAATCAGCGGCAACACAACTTTTGTGCCTTCCACCTGATGGAATCCTAAGTCAGACCTCTCGGGGAAGAAATACTCGATGCCTTCATCTCGGCCATCGCGACCTACCTTTTTAAGAGGCACCCACTTATAGGGAGGCCCCACGAAAGCCTCTCAACCCTTCAATGTCAAGTGGCGTCAAACTCTAGAGGGCAGCAAATATTGCCCATTTTTTTAATTTCACGTGGAACCAAAGGCACCACTATCCATGGGACAGCAGCACGTGACCTACCTTAGGATTTTAGGTACAGCGGGTCCCAAGGATTCCTTTGGGCCGCGGGGAAACGATGATCAAGGGTCAGATCAGATGGTTCGAAAGGCAGGCCGGAGGTGGAGGGATCTCAGCCAGTAGGACCGAGCTCTCGGTCCCGCACCGGTCTTGGTTGGCCCTGGGGCCTGTTTCCTAAGTCGGGCAGGACCGGGCCTGCAACTGTCAATCCGCAAGATCGTGCATTGGTCATGCCTGTGCTGATCAGTGGCTCACATTGTCCAACAATGGGTCCCGTGTTGACAATAAGCCTAAAGTCGGCCAGGAGCGCATTTACTGAACATGGACAGGAGCGGGACCCTCGAATATCAAAATGCCTCTTGCGTTGAGCATTGCCCTCCGGGCAGTGCCGGAAGACGTGATCAATGATGATGCAACCGTCTTTACTCACAATGAGATACTGAGGCTGTGCCAGTCAACAGGTCGCGGTAGTGAACGAGGAACCCTCCGCATTGTGTCAACTGGGAGGCGGGGGCTGCATGTAATAGTTCGCCGCGCTTCCTACTACTACTACCAACATTTCAATATTCGCGCCATGTCGTGTCACTCGAGTGGCATTTACGAGTTAGCCTATGTGTGCAAGTTATTGCTTTTGCGTGTAGCCATTCACTGTGGGCTTGGTTCCCGCGGTGACGCCCTTTCGGCCAGGATAGAGAGGGCAACCGCCGACATATGGTCTCATATAGGTGTCGTAAAGCCCCAATGACGCACAGCCATTTATTGTGAGGTTAGCGACTTACAACATTGAACTCTTTTGGGTGCGTTTTACGTAAGTTATTGTGTACTGTGTCATTATTATTTTTTCTCTCTTACCAAATCGCGAGTCCCCACAAAATTTAGCTTATCTTTACTTGAAGGATTTGATGGGGATAGGGAGCCCCGTTCCTTGTAGCTTAACTTAGCTCCTTGTAGCTTAGATTTAGGCAAATATAGGCGTGGTAGGGGAGGGGACAGCCCAACACTGGGGCTTGCCCCCAATACTCTCAAAGAACCTTTATAAAAGCGAACATAACCATGCGACTCGTACTGGATCCGTACTCCGAAAATACCAGCCACGAGATCAGTAACCTGTTTTGTCGTGGGACTACGCTACCGGGGGACAGTCACCACTGCAGTTCGTCGAGGGCACTGTACACCCTTTGTTTGTCCCGCGAAGTGAAGGAAACACCGGCTGGACGTTTGATCGACTACAGTCTATTGCTTACATGTGTACTAGTGTGACAACATGTTCGTGTGAAAATATGTTCGTGCGCTATCGTCATCCGGCAAATTAAGCCG